TCTACCTCAGGTGACGCCCAATCAGAGCAGGGCTCGTGGTCTCACCCAATGAGTATCGAAACTCGCGGACTCAGGTAGATCGCAGGTGTGTCGTAGTCCGGCACTGTGAAGAAGACTCGATCATCCGGGGCCAACTTTTGTGAAGTTGGTTAGAGTTATTGAGTCTTAACAGCGTTCATATTCACGCCAGTTTGTATTACTGTGAGACTATTACTTGTTTTTTGCACTATGAATTTAGTTTTTATCAGACAAGCTGGGACTCTGCTGTTTATTTGCATGATTTTAATTCTTCTGCATGGCTCCAGAGGCGAAATACCTTCTAAACCAATTGCAGCCACGATTTTGCCATTTGTTAAGCCTAATGATGGAGTCCAGACTTATCCAGAGGACCAGAAAAATAATTTACCCGTGTTTACAATGAATTATCCAAGAATCCAGATTCCCTTTGAAATTACTCTTTGGGTGCTGCTGGCTTCTTTTGCAAAAATTGGTGAGTAACAGTCCCACATGTGCCAACAGGTGTGGTTTCTCATCTTGCTGCTCACTGTGACCTTTTTTCCTCCTCTTTTCAGGTTTTCATGTGTACCACAAGATCACCATCTGGGTGCCTGAGTCGTGCCTTCTCATCAGCATCGGCCTGATAGTGGGCGCTATCATGCACTCTGTTCACGAGGAGCCCCCCGCTGTGCTCACCAGTAATGTCTTCTTCCTCTACATGCTGCCCCTAATTGTCCTGGAGTCAGGTTACTTCATGCCCACCAGGCCTTTCTTTGAGAACATTGGCACGGTTCGTTTCAAATCAGGCACTATTTCTCTTACTCTGGTCAGCTTCCTGCTCAACTTTGACAGTTTTGTTGCTGTTTTCATGCAGGTGTTCTGGTTCGCCGTGGTGGGGACGCTGTGGAACAGCATTGGCATCGGCATCTCTCTGTTCGCCATATGCCAGATTCCGGCCTTTGGCGTGCAAGACATCAACCTCCAGGAGAACCTGCTGTTCTCCGCCATCATCTCGGCCGTGGACCCCGTGGCTGTGCTGAACGTGTTTGAGGACGTGTCTGTGAACGAGCAGCTCTACATCGTAGTGTTCGGAGAGTGCCTCTTCAATGATGCTGTCACTGTGGTGAGTGAGCGGACTGCTATTTGTTATTAAAACACTTGACTGTGAGCAAGGGGCAATTGCAAACTGTTCTTGTGAGTCAATTGTTTTGTTCCAGTGACAAATACACAGCCAGGTACCCAGCATGGCAGTGGAGTTTACTCTTCTGCATGTGCTCCACAAAGAGTATATATTTAGCATTTTACACAGATTTAAGAACATTTTGTGCTATTTCTCTCTATGTCACAGTCTCATACATGTAGTTTCCTGTGGAGACCATTTCAACCACCACCCACCATTTACAGACATGGTTAGGCATTTAATTTCATGACTATTACATGAAAAAAGCACATCCGCTGCTTGTCCATTCTTCCACACTCAATAAGATCAGCTCAGGTTTCATGAAATACTGGTCATATTTGTGTTTTCCCTTCTCTTCTCCGGGTTGTATGTACAAGGACAGAATGTGTGGGAGAGAACCGTCTGTGTGCTGGCAAGATTTCTAAAAAGAAATTACTCAGGGAGGAAAAACTGAACTAAGGGAATGTTATACACATGAAACAAGTGTGTCTATAAAGCACAATTCAGTCCGTTTGCTCAGATGCTGTCAAACCAGTTTCTGGTCGCAGTTACATTTGTTTGTGTGGGTTTGTCCACATGTAGTTTGTCCACATGTAGTTTGTCCACAAACTCAGGGATTTAATAAACTCAGAGGAAAGGCTCCAACAGCCATAAGAAGCAAACAAAACTTCATTTGCTGTTAATGTTTTCTCCCAAACAGAACAATAGTCTGACCTTGTTAATCTCAGAACTAATATTTTACAGACAGGCCCATGTGTGAGCCTCTTTGTTAGTGGTGGCTTTTCTATGTGCAAAGAATCTTTATTGTCTGTGTCTTGAACTGGATCTGATGGTCTAGCAGAACTTTTTCCACTTCATCTTGCATTTAAGTCATTAATTATCTGCACACGATGATCCCTTTTTTTAATCCAGTTTTGGTGCATGTCATGCATTTAAAGTTTAAAGTACTCAGTTTTGAGAAATGCAGTGAAATGGTGTGGCTAAATTTGCCATCGGGGTTCATGCGAGTCGATGTTAGCCATGTGTTTTCATGTGGCAAAAGCTTCATACTGCCCAGGCAGTAAGGGCAGATTAAGGAGGAACAAAGCTGGTTACTTTACCTAATGCACCTTTTCCATGACTCAGTCAGTATGTTTGGTGAACTCTGATCAAGTTGCAAACAATGCAGAGTAAATATTTCCAGTAAATCACTCTTATCTGGAAAGGCGTCATTAGAGGCCACAGCGCCTGACACCACACCTGACCTCTGACTAGCATATGTGGGATATGGTGCATAGGTGCAAAAAAAAAAGAAAGAGTGCATATTTATTTATTAATTTTTTAGGTGTTGTACAACATGTTCAGCTTTGTTGCGGAAATGCCGGTGGTGGAGCCGGTGGATGTGTTCATTGGAGTGGCGAGGTTCTTCATTGTGGGGCTCGGTGGGATGGCATTTGGCATCCTGTTTGGCTTTGTGGCAGCCTTCACCACAAGATTCACCTCCAAAGTCCGAGAAATCGAGCCACTCTTCGTATTCATGTACAGCTACCTGGCCTATCTGGTGGCAGAGCTGTTTGCCATCTCATCCATCATGGCGTGAGTAGGTTTTATAACATTTACAGAATTAAAGAAAGAAAGAAGAATAACACAAAGTTTACCCAAATACTCCCCACAAACCCTCTGTGCCCATGTGCTTCTGCAGCATTATAACCTGTGCCCTCACCATGAAGTACTACGTCGAGGAAAACGTTTCCCAGCGTTCCTGCACAACCATCAGACACGTGATTAAGATGGTTGCCTCTATCTCGGAGACGCTCATCTTCTTCTTCTTAGGGGTCGTCACCATCACAACTGACCATGAGTGGAACTGGGGCTATATCCTCTTCACGCTGCTTTTTGCTTTTGTATGGAGAGGTCTGGGTAAGGAAATGACCGGCGTCATCTGTGTTGTGTTAAAGCTCAGGTTTTTGTTTGACTGCAGTTATCTAGTGGAGCAAAGGCTGAGAGCTACTGCTGCTACATGTGCAAACACTGAAATGTGCAAAGAAATCCAAGGAAGACAGAAAGTGCTGCTAAGAAAATAAGCTGCGAATGTAAAACGGACATAGGTAATCTTTTAATGTTGAATCTAGCCAATCAATATTGAGCCCAGTATGTCTTCTCAGTCTGTTTTGGTTTCCACCAAAAACCTCTAAAACTTTAGTCAAAAACTGAGAGCTTAATGTTGTCAAAACGCTTGTTAAATCTGAAAGGAAATGTCCAGACTTCTCTGCTGATTTGTTGATAATGAAACCTGTGATATTTTCTTGCCTCTTCCTCTCAGGTATCTTGGTGTTGACTCAGATCATTAACCCTTTCCGCACCATCCCATTCAACATGAAAGATCAGTTTGGTCTCGCATATGGAGGTCTGCGAGGTGCAGTTTCTTTCGCCCTTGCCTTCACGCTTCCTGATACCATTGGCCGCAAGCAGCTCTTTGTCACTGCCACCATTGCAGTTATCCTCTTCACCGTCTTTCTTCAGGTAAGGGAACATCTGTGTAGGTATATTTTTAAGTCTGTATGCTCTGAATAACTTGAATGAAGGTGTTATTTCTTTTGTCCTTGCAGTGGAATGAGATAGAAAACGATTTTTTCTTTAAAATCACATTTAGGAGTGAGACAGAATCTTGGTGAGCTGTTTGGTGTCATTTCTTTTTGTCTAGTTAAAAAACAAACAAACTGAGACCTGATTCAAAATGATATGTGTTATATACACTGATAAACTCAAGCTTTTAATTTCTAATCATATACACTGTTATCCTTGGAGAAGAAATACAGAACATTTATTGTATGATATATAAAATGCATGTATGCATCTGAACTTTTACCTTCCAAAAAAGACATTTTACAAAGTTCAACCTCATGGCTGCTAAAATGAGGTGAAATTACTTTGGTTCTAAACTGTGTCTCTTATACTTGTAATCAAAAGTTTACGTACAGTCATTATGAGCATGAATGTCATTATAATTTTGGGCATTTATTGATTTCTTTGAGCTCTTCTTTTTCCAGGGAGGAATGATTGTACAGCATACATCTTTATTGACTTAAACAAACAAACAATAAAAAGGATTGGCTGCACAAGTACATACACCTTCACTAATATTTAAATGCCCATTACAAAGTTGTACGTCGA